ATATTATTGCATTTGAGATATTTTACGTTTTAATTAATGTGAGTCGGTTTGCTTTCCGTGTCATTTATTTTTTTTTATTTCCAATTTTAATAAAAAACTAAGTCGTGCATTTAAACTGCAAACAAAGGACAATAATTTAGTTTAGTTAAAAGCACATTGGTAATTCATTGAGTATTGTTTTTCAAGTAAAATAGGCGAACGTATAGATTACAAAAATTTTTTATAAATCTTTTGTGCAATCTTCATCTTTCGCGATAATTTTAAACTTCTATCTAACAGATACTCTGAGTCCAGTTTATGTAAGTAGCTTTTGTAAATATCGCAATATTTCAACAACAAAAGAAATTATTTGCAGTTTTTTTTTATAATTTAAGTACACCACTTGGACTTTATTTTATTTTTAATTAATTACATTTGCTGTACTCAGGGATCTATTATTATTATTATTACACAACTTGTGATTCAAGTTTTATTAAGTTGTTTTGTATTAAATAAAAATAAATAAGAGACTTATTTTAAAGCCAATTATTTAATTTCCAAACTGTTCCATTTTATTGTCATAATCCATTAAAGATAACGTAAAAATCTCATTAGCATTCATATTTTATTCAGTCACAAAAAATAGGGAAAAAAATACAAAACTTATAATATTGTTAATATTATGATTACTAAAATTATTAGACTTGTCAAAAACAAAAACAGTTATTCTTAAAACCTATGTATGTATAACTTTACATAACATAAACTCTTTCAACTTTCTTGAAGGAAAACATTTCTTTAGTTTTAGGGCAGATAATTTGGCCATCGTTCTCCCTTGCCATTTGTTGTAAAGCCTGTAAAAAAGTTATACTATAATATTCATTAAAAAAAAAAAAGCAATTATTTACCTGTTCACCATAAATATATCCATTTGGTAACATCATTGGTTGATTATTCTCATTCATGGGAAGACCACTGATGTGACAATATAATCTTGATTGGGAACAGTGTGCATAGGGTAAAGGTTCAGCCAACTGATTTAAATACTCATTGCAAACTGGACAACCTGGATTGCGATTTTCTCTGTTATTAGAGTAACACTGAGTAGGTATTATTAAGAAAAATAAATTAACTGATATGAAATTATTCAACATGGACAATAAATTGTAACATTTATTTGATTAAAAGGATATGGTGTCTTTAATGAAGACAATCCAGCCTGAAGAGCAACAGTAAAAACTGATTGACTGGCCAGTTGGAATAATCTATAATTTTCTTGTCTAAATTCCTCTATAAGAGTATCCCATCTAGATTTGTCAAAAAGACATTTGTAGGGTTCAATTACTTGAAAAGAAAAATATTTGTATTCAATTATTCTTTAAAAATTTCATGACAAATGTAAATATTTACCCGTAGTGACAGGAAATGCTAATAAGGCCATAGCTTGCTGAATAGTGGTCAAATGTTCTTCTTCAAAACTGGGAAAATGTTTTCTGGCATGCTTAATTGCATCTATTCTGTGATCAGACCTTATAAGTTCAATAAATTCTTGTATACGTATATTAAATTCCATATTTGATTTCAATTTTCTCAACTTAGAACGATTATCATGGCACCATGCAAGACACTTTGATGTTTCATGATTCATCAAAGATCTTTCAACTTCACGGGATGTTAAAAATATATCTAAAATTATGGAAATTTGCTTAGTCCTTCTCTTCTTTTGTTAATTAGACCACAATTATACTGACCTATATTAGTTAAATCCTTAATTTCTGACTTTTCTGCCAGCTTCATGGCTGCATTATAGTAGCCATTTCTCAAAAAATATTCCACAACCATACGATCTAATCTTTTGCGTCGCCACTGATTCAAAGCTCCTTCAGACATTGTCCCTAGAGGAGTCATTGTAGCATGCTCCTTGAGATGTTCTATTCTCTTTTTACAAACATTAGTTGCTTGAAGCTCTTCAGAAATACTTTCTTCAGCTTTCCTCTTTAATACTTGAAGCTTCTCTACCATACCACCCAACAGTTTTGTAATGTCGCTTGTTTGGACATTATCACCAGAAATTTCTCGTTCAATTTCTAGGGCTGTTTGTTGGACATGGGACGCTTCTCTGTCTAATGTTTTTTGTGCAGTTCGAAACTTCTTGTTTAAAATTTCATAAGGCACCTAAAGAAGTAAAATTAAAACCCCAAAATAATTGCAAAACAATCCTAAGAAATACCTTCAAAGTAGGATGCTCCAAAGCTTTCACATCAGCCATTGTTTTCACCAATTTTTAAAATTGCTGATTTTATCACAATATTGTCTGTAAATCTATAATACACCTTGTTTTATTCAACCTTCATTGTTACGAATTTATACTTGAACGACGTAACGAAAACATATGTTTTTAGGTTAAGCCACACAACACAAAATAGAATTCGATTTTTTGGAGTATTAATTGTTAATTATTTATTTCTATTGGGGTGTAAATCCCTTACAAATAATTTTGTGACTGACCATACTCGTATACTTTGACATTTCGATCAGATACGCATCAATTGTCATTGATTGCGCATATACAGAATGGTTCATAGTTCATTGGAATAGAATTATAGAAATCGTTGAATAATAACAAATTACTAAACAATTTCTTTTTCTTTTACAAAAATAACTAATTATTTCATTAATTTGCAGAAAAAAAATAAGTTCTGAATATGACGACAGGTGACGCATAATGACGTATTGCATTGTGAGCATAGATAATTGTGGGCAATTTCATCTCAAACACTAATCAATATATTTTTTTTAGTATTATTTAAAGTGACGTCAAAATCTGGAAGTGCTTTTTAAAAGATCATTCATAAAGTAAATTTACGTGTCAGTTCACGTAAATAATCATGTGGCAAGATTTCTACGAAATCAAAGAAATGGATCAAGATAACTACATGGACCTCACAGAACTTGTTTAACCTCTTTCTTCCAGTCATATGAAATTTTGGATTTTTTAAAAATGCCGGAGCAAAGCAACGATTATCGTGTGGTTGTATTTGGAGCCGGTGGTGTTGGCAAAAGTTCGTTGGTGCTAAGATTTGTAAAAGGCACTTTTCGCGAAAGTTACATTCCAACGATTGAAGATACTTATCGCCAAGTACGTTTTATGTTGTTGACCATTGTAGTCTCTGTTTACAGTTCATTCCTCGTTTTTCAGTTTATGCTTTTGCTCGTGCTTTTTTACTTAGATGTTTTAAGTTTTGGGTGAGTAGTTCATTTTTGTTATTTATTATTTATTTATAAAACATTGTTACTTTTATTATTAAAAGGCCACAAAACCTTCTTTTAAATTTTCATTCATGTATTTATTAAAGCTGTCTTTACTCTGGACTATCACAAAATAAATTTTAGGTCATAAGCTGCAATAAAAACATCTGTACATTACAAATAACAGATACAACAGGGTCTCATCAGTTTCCTGCTATGCAGAGACTGTCCATTAGTAAAGGACATGCATTCATTTTGGTTTATTCAGTGTCAAGTCGACAAAGCCTTGAAGAACTCAGACCAATTTATGACCTCATTCGTGAAATAAAAGGGGCTGAACTTCCCAACATACCAATTATGTTGGTGGGAAATAAATGTGATGAAAGTGCAGAACTGAGGGAGGTATGTTGAAACTTATGAAAGATATGCCATGGTATATTGTAAATGAACTTACTGTAATGTATGATTTTCTAGTTGGGTATATTACAGTAGGAAAAAGAAAATAACATTTTATCAGTGTATTTTACAATTGTCTATTGAATCCTTGTTTAAAACTTGTTTCTGTGATAATTAGGTGACTACATCAGAAGGACAGGCTGAAGCAGCAGCTTGGGCAGTTAATTTCATGGAAACATCAGCCAAAACAAATCATAATGTGAAGCAGCTGTTCCAGGAACTGTTGAATATGGAGAAGACACGCAATGTCAGTTTACAAGTAACAAATAAGACGACAAGTCGGGTAGCAAAAGATAAGTGTGACCTTATGTAATTCCAAAATATTTTAAAAGTTAAATTTTTACGCGATTTTTATCACAAAAAAAAAACAAATCTGTTAGTCATCTTTTTTGTATAATCTGCTGTGATTCGTATTTCTACAAGTTAAAGGTTTTTCCATAAATGTTGTTAAACTCGTAAAGAGCGGTAAACCTTTTTTCTGCATTTCTGAAATTTCGTACGGGTAATCGTTTCTTTGTGGAAGTAGATTTTTATAAAATATGTGTATGTATTGTATTTCGCGGTCATCATTTATTTCGATGCTCATTTATCACTTCATTCATTTACACTCATTCAATAAGCAAAGGGAAAACAAAAAAACGAATCAAAGATCTTCGATTGAAGCTAAGTAAGTAAACGTGAATTGATCTGTTCATCACTGTTATACAAAAAAATATAACAATAATAAATCTACTACTACTACTCTATCGACAATATAACATTACTTATCGTTAGTAATGCATGTTTTCGTATTAATTAAATTAGATGATTCTTGCTTACTTAGCTTCTAGATAAATTTAATCAATAGTTCTACATGAAGAACAGTGAAACAGCATAAAAAGGATTATTTACTTTTTTCTTTTTTTTTTTTCACAAAAAATTAATTTTTTTATACGAAGTGCAACACTGTTCTTTTGTAGATGCATTAAAAAGTATAGCGTAGATACAAATGAAGACATTTTATACATTTTATCTGTCTCAAGTAAAAGTTTACGTTTAGAGATGAATGTTTTCATATACAAAACATGGGGGCCAAAAACTGTCTAAGTAAACGTAATTTTTCGTTTTTGTGAACAAACGCTGTTGTTATTTTGGAATATTTTTGTTGTTATTAAATTCTGATTCGAACTATTTTTGTGTACTACGTAAAGAAAGCGATTTTGAGTGTTGGTAAGTTTAAGATGTGACATGTTCATCTCTGAGGGTAAATGTTCTATGTATATTCTGATCAGCATATCAGTTATTCGTAATGGTTGTTTCTTATAGCGTGCATAGAACGCTATATTTGTACATTATTACATTAGATCGTAATTATGACTGTTTTAAATGGAATAGAAGAGTTGTTGGCAAAAAAGAAACAGGTCTGAAATTAACTAACAATTGTTTCTTGCTTCATAATTATTTAAGGAGTATTTTTCGATGAAAAGGCTAAGGCTTTCACGGCCGGCGTTATCTGAAGTGAATCATTTGGGCTTGATAGCCGGGGTTCAATTGGTTCATCTCCTACCGTGAGTCTACTGATGGAGTCGTTTCGTAAAATCCTTTACACTCTTCTGGTACCTTCTCTGAGGATGCCAAGCACAGCAGCAGGCGAAACGTGAGATACACGACCCCATCAGTGGACTCACTAAGGGTGGGGAGCCAATACTGGATCTTGACCATCATCAAGTTCAAATATCGAAGCTTCTTTAGAGTATTTTTCGTTCAAATTTTGGTTAAAAATTTAGTCTAATGTGTTTAGTAACATATGCCCCATAACTTTTAAAAAAATAAAAAAAGTACCGGTTGAGGTGCCAAATTATAGTATATATACAATCATATTAATGTATAGTAAAATCGTTTTTTTCATATTAAGGACCAATAATCAGCAAAATAAATAAAAACGTCCACTTAGCCCAGGGCAAGACCAATTTACTTACAGGGCAGTGGACTGACTTGTGGTCATTCAGAACAGAGAAAGAAAAGCTATTTCTAACTAATTTTACTACATAAGAGCAATATGAAGAAATGTGCTAATTTCATTTAAAACAGTCTTTCTTAGACTGGGTGCTGCTATGCCATTGCAATGCAACATAGATAAAACAAAATTTGTTCATGTTATCAGATGTTTGTTGATTCACGGGGCTTTATAGTGTTCACTGAGAACTGCAAATGTGATCGACTTAAAACTTACATATTATATGCAACGAATATACAAGGTTAACGTAGGGTAGTTACAAGTGTACTCACCGATTTTCATAAATTTTAAGCTAAAAATTAATTAATTAACGCATAAAAGACATTTTGCTTACTCATGTTATTGCTGAACAGTGATAACCGAGGGAAGGTGCTTACCTACAACCATGAACGACACGAAAATTGAAAAAAAAATACTTTGTATAAGGCGTTTTTTTTTATTTGTATATATATTTTGGAAATTTTTGCATATATGCCGTTATTCTCGGTTATCACTTGATAAATACATAAATAGTTAACTAGTTGTACTTAAGATTGAAATTTGTATACTTGTAGGTAATGTTATCCCTCGTCAATATTTGCTAGTGATGCTGTTTAGTACTAAATAGTCACCTACCTACACACCCTAATTTACCAGATTTTTCGTACCATTTGGTATATCGTATTAATAATAATAATTATTATTGTACTATTCGTTACATTGAAGTGATTCATTTTGTCAAAGCATAAATAGAAAAATTGATATCTTGCAAAATGACACATAAATTTGTTGTTGTACTTCTACGTATATATTTATTTTATCGTTTATTATGAATAATAAACCCATTGCATATTAGAAAACGCGGAATTCTATTTATTATTCCTAATGATGTTAATTAAAATTTTCCTATGATTTTGCAACATTACACAAATGGCATTTTAAACTATTCTTTCGCAATTTTCAGAGCAACTTTATTTTTCCTATAATATTGCACGTAAATTATTTAAATATATGGTCTGCAAATTTTGATATTGGTATCTTTTGATCATAAATCAAAAAGCATCTATGTACTTAAAGTTAAATTACCACCTCTGGTCTCTTACTTTTAAATTCCGCTATTCCTTTTTTGGACCCCTAATTTTAATGAAAATGTTTAAAAACTTTTCATCTACTATAAGATAGATAGGGACACTTCTGCCTAATTTAAAAATAAGTATGAAACCATAGTAAAAAACGACGAAAACATTATTAAACTTACGATTTCATTAATTTACACTATAAAAATATGAAATATGTGGACACTGTGGTCTCTAAAATGGCATCACAGCTCTGAAATCAAGCAGAAAATCTTAAAAATACAGCTGTTTAAGAGGAAAATCTAGACATAACATCATTGTTTGTATATACATACATACATTAATTATCTCAAGCCAATGGTATAAAGCACAAATAAATTTGCGTCATTAAGGAAGTATTTAAAACGGGGTGCCTAAGAAAAGCCGCACAACGGTCGAAGAAAGTTTATTTGTTGACATATGACCTTCTTGGACTTTGTGGCCTGTGATAAGAGTCCGTTGGTTACACAAATCTCGTTGAAAATTTTCGATATCCGGGTCAAGTTCTCCGTTAAATTGAAAAAAAAAATTGTGCGGGAATTAAGGCGACAGTGCAACAAGTATGCAAAAATGGCAGGGAATGCTTCAGTTTTTTTGCAAATGATAATGTACGTGACTAATCAAAGTGCCATTCAGGATGATCTTCAATCATCTTACAACGTTTACTTAATGGAAATTGGGAAAGGTTCGTGTTTTTGCATTAGTTTCTCAAATATTAAATAAAAATTGCTTAATCTGCAGAAATGAACAAAACAACATGTATTGGGAGCTATGGTTGTTTTAATTTAAGTGCTCCCTGGACTTCAATACATCGTCCTGTATCTCTATTTCCTGAAAATGTACGACACTGTATGAGTAAATTAAATTCAATTTATTAATACTTTTACACTTATTAACTGAAAGGGAATATAAAAACATTTTTATTGGTGAATAATTATTTTTCTTGTAGTTTGAGCCTAATTACTTTATCTACGATCGTCAACATGTAGATAAACCGAGACTTTTGGATTTAGAAGATTATATGTTTGTGAAAAATTTAAAGATAAATCCTGACAACCCTCTGTACACAATATCTCATGGGTATTTAGAAAGCGGCGACAAACCGTGGGTAAAATAAGGCTAAAAAATAAAGTCAGAACTTGTTATTTTACAGAAACCTTTTTAGATCATCGAATTGGCGCAGGAACTTTTGAAACTGGAAGATTGTACAGTGATAGCTGTAGATTGGGGACGTGGTTCAAGTCCACCCTATACTCAAGCTGTGGCCAATATAAGACTGGTAGGAGCCATGACTGCCCATGTCCTAGCCGATTTTGCGAGATTTACAGGAGAGAAGAAATTAGATCATGTGCATTGTATTGGCCATTCATTGGGGGCTCATTTGAGCGGTTATATCGGATATACTTTGATGAGAGTAAATTTTTCACCATCATTAAAATAATTTTCTTTCCACATTAATTAATGATTTATTAGGATTTTGGTTTGAAACTGGGTCGAATAACAGGCCTAGATCCGGCAGAGCCCCATTTTTCGAAAACCCAGCCTCCTGTTAGACTTGATCGATCAGCAGCCCATTACGTTGACATTATACATACCGATGCAAGCCAATTTATTCGAGGAGGATTGGGGATGACCGAAAGGATAGGGCATGTCGATTATTATCCCAACGGAGGTACCGATCAACCAGGATGTAATAGGGGAGTAGCTCAGTATATTACTGACTCAAATGGAAGCTTCTTTGGTGGTAAACTTTTTATTTAAATGCACTAGAATAACAAATGATATTGACAATGTAATTTGCTTAGGAATAAAGAAATTTTTGGGTTGTAACCACTTAAGGAGTCACGAGTATTTTATGGAAAGTATTAGAAGTGGATGTCCTTTTTTAACTATTGGATGTTCTTCATACGAAGTAAAGCGATTGTCAAATTATTAGTATAGTGTATTATTTTTCTTACTTTTTGTTGCGTTTCAGGACTTTAAAGATGGAAAATGCTTTCAATGCGGTAGAAATAAGAACCATTGCGTCCGCTTTGGGTATCATGGGAGGGAGGATTACAATAGATTGATTAAGAAGCGTATGATACGTCCAAATGAGAATTTGATGCAGTTTTTAATAACCGGTAGCGAATCTCCATTTTGCAGTAAGTTGTAACTTTCATTATTTTTACATTACTTACTTACTTTTATTTTCTTCTTAGAATCCCATTACAGAATAAGAGTGGAAATTTCGAATTCTACAGATAGTAAAACTCACGGTGGTGAAATAGGACAATTGTTTTTTACTGTGTACAGTACTCGTGATGGTAAGGGATCCAACAGTGGTAAAATGGCTCTAAATGATGGTGGCTATCATGAGCCTGGGGTAAAATACGAGGCCGTTGTTCCTGGGAACGATATTCCCGATTTAAAATCTGTAGAAGTTGAATGGAAATACCATAGTAGTGTTTTCAACCCTTTAACGTGGAGATTGTTGGCAAGCCCTAGGGTTTTTGTCGATCATGTTGTGATTGACAATTTAGAAACTAACAAAAGGTATGTATTATAGTTAGTGATGTGTCATTTTCCATTTATTATAAAATTGACGGTATGAATTACAACATTATCTACATTTTCTCACGCCTCATGTTTAAGTCCAAATTCATATAAGTAACAAAATTAAATACCGCATACATTCGATAGTGTGAATATCGCATAAGGGATACTCCTCATAGTGGCAACATTTATGCTGGACAGCCGCATATCATGAACGAAATATAACATTCGTTGACGTGAACAAATCGACAATGTGTTATATTGATATTGGTTTTCTAATTCACACCATCGAGTATATTTTAACTTCATATACTTCATCATTTCACTCACTCCTCAGATTGAAAAAATGAAGTTTTAACTTTTAACTTTTTTTTTTTTTAGTATTATTGTCTGCTCTCGCGAAAATCAGCCTCTAATATCTGGCATTCCGCAATTTTTCCACACCTCGTACTGCGCCCTTACGTAATTAAATTATTGTAATTTAAATGATAATGAATATTCTGTGACCTGTTAAACCAAAGTATTATCAATGCGGCTCGAGTAAAACTGTGTATATTAAAAATATAAAATAGAATCTAAAGAACAGAAAAAAAATGTTACGCTTTTACTTAATTGTAATTTGTTTTTTTTTTTTCTTTATTTGTTAAAATATTTGCATTGCAAACTAGAAATGTAAATATACACACATACACGGGGTATAAAATATAGAGTATTAAGAATAAAATAAATAAAAACGTAAATATTTTCAAATTGAAGATATGTTTTATTTAATTCTTTGTTGTTTGTTATGATTCGAACATTGAAATAGTAAATAATGTAATATTCTATTATGTATTTTTAATGTATAATAATATAAAGAGAGCTTTGGCATCTTATCAAATAGTAAGTATGTTGTATATTAATTGTGATTGTAAGTTGATAGGTAAATAACCAAAAAGTCAAATATGTACGTATAAAGGTAGACAAATATAAGTACGTTAATGTAGAGGTGAGGTAATAATAAGTACATTAATTAATAACTATACAATTGCAAAGTTTTTAATAATTATTAATAGTTGTAGTAGAATGTTTGTGAGAATCTGAAATTTTTAGCGTTATTAAAGCGTTATATAGTAATTTTTTAATTTATCAACGATATTTTAAAAATCTTATCACATTCTCAAAAAAGTTGCGACATTTTACCTTACTTGATACAATAATAAAACAGAGAAACATTGAAATTGTTTCTCGTAATTAACACGAAGAAGACGATTTTAATTTAATGTTCAAAGATTGAGATTTTATTTTAATAAACAGTTCTTTTTTACCTAATTGAAACTTTATGATAAATTAAATTCATTCTTTGAGTATTTAATTTACCAGCGGAGTTTCTTTCGGTGATAAAAGTTGCGCATAAATTGTGACTTTGACTTTGCTAGAGAAACAAACAAATAAGTATAAATGTTTTTGTAAAAGATCATTGCCATGTAATAATATATTTTGCTAAAAACTTAATTTGATTTCATGTAGGTAAGTTACGCTCATCTAAAAAAAAGTTTTCTTTTTAATCAGTTCAACCACTAAGCAACTTACTGTTTTTTAGAAACCTTCCGTATTGTTTTACCTGAGGGGCCTGAGGATTTCCCGTGTGCTTGAAGACAAAACGTCGGCAACTTGGCTCTGTATAATCCCAAAAATTCTGAGTTTACTTAGAATAGCAAGAATTTGATACTTGATTTAGGGTGAGATAAATTAATCATGATTACCTACCATAGCAATGACCTTTAGCGATAAAAGATAAATTTAAGAAAAAAATCGCCAATTATTCAGCAACCGTAATACTCAGTTGCTTCGTCTTATAATTGTCGAACTTATCCATAGTTTTAATGCTTCCCAGCGCATCCAAACCTATGATGAGTCCTATAATCAGTATAAATGTAACAAACAATCCAGACCATATCGGAATAGTGGTAAATGGTACGCAGTTGTATGCGTCGCTGAACTTGTTATCTTGTGCGTCCGGTTGGGCTTGAATCTCGTACAAAATCAGTTTGGCTTCTTCATTTTTAAAAACTGTTTCGCCCCCACAGTGATACGAAAACCTCCTGGGTGCATTCACGTCATTCAGGATGCTCAAATTGTACGTCTTTGTGTCTTTTTCAACGTCAACGCTTGTCAAAGACCAATAGCCGTTTAGCCAGGGGAATCTGAAACGCAAAACTACCTTTTCCGGACCATCGTTAACCTGTATCGTTACTATCAGACGAACGTAAGAATCTCTGGAATCGATACTGCTCGATTTTGGATTTCCCAAGCTCAAAGAAGTCGAATCTATGTATAATAGGGGTGGTTTAGAAGAGTATATCATAGTTTGAACATCCTTAAATGATGCTCCGAATAGTACGGGGCCTGTTGGTACATTGCCGGTGGTTGTATCAGCTGTGGTGTACTTTGGTACAGTTGTTGGTAACTCAGTAGATATATTTATTGCCCGTTTGGGTCTCCTTTTCAACGGAGATAACACTATCACTACGTTCTCATCGTGTTGAAAGGGTAGAAGACTGCGTTTTATAGTTATTTTATCCTGGTCCGCATTTCCCAGTAACACTAAAAAAAATTGAGAAAAGTGTAGTAATTTCCCCACAAAAGAACAAAAAGTACAATAAAAAAAATAATTTTTGAATCTTACAAAACAGTTTCAATTTTGTAGCTTAATAACGTAAACAAAAATTCTATTTTCGGCAAAAAACGCCCAAAATATTTATAAACATTCAAATAATTATCGTAATTATATCATCTTTACAAAAAAAAAAAAAATAAGAAACGGTTTCATAGTAATGAATACTCACCAGTTGCATTTTCAAAATTAATGTTCGCATTTGGTACGTAACAACTGTATTTTGATTTAAACGCATTTAGAACATTTTCATTTAGTGTTTCATAATTAAATGTTACTAATTTCGGTTTATCTAACTTATTTTTTTCTAAATAAAATTGTAAATCGTCTCGCTGAATACTTTCTAATGCTGGTATTTCTACTTTACGTGAAGAATATAGTAATAAATTTCCATGTGCAAAAATATTTTGAAAAACTAAAATATTAACTATTGTTTTTGCTAAAAACATTTTTTCTCAGGCGAGAAAACAAATAACTAAAATTACTAAAATATTGATTTTTTGTATCAAATGCATGTGTATTTCATGGTGACATCTGTTTGATGCATAGTACAACAAAATAAAGTGGAAGGCAACCCATTTTACACCCCATCAAATACTATAATTATTTTTATTGGCTTTATTAAACTTTATTGCACTTAATTTAACAATTTTATTTGATAATAATAAGCCTAATATTATTATATTAAACATTCTTGAGTTTATTTAATAATATCGTAGCCTACGTACAAAACAGTTTATGTTAAAGTCCGTCTTTTTCAAAAAAACTATATAAAAGTGAGTTTTAAAATTATCATACAATGAAAAGTAAGTAACGTTAAAGTCAGGAAAATAAAATTAGTTTAATTTCGTAACTCGAGTAAAGTATGTGAACATGTCTAAAATATATTTCAAACCTTTGGCGGTATTTTTAAATTGCAATTATTAATTACAGGGAGAATGTGATTAAATTTTAGTAGTAAAAGTATATCAAATTTTTTAAACACAAAGGAACGGATTGCTAAAAGATAATAAATGTGTTTATTAGGAAATTTGTGGGTTTGTTTAGAAATCGTCGTTGTCTTGTGTATTTAGCTGATTGCACAGTGGCACAGCGTTGATAAAACGTAAAATGTGATAGTTTTATGGTTAAGATATCTTTTCAAATACACGATAACATGATAATATACATAATAGGAATTTATATAAGGGAAGTTTTTGTAAAATAGAAGTATTATAGTACAATCTTATCACCATTTATGCTACAAATTTGCACTGATTTTAAACTTTTCGTCAAGAGATGTCCACATCAGCTGATCAGAGGTACGCTAACATTTTGGACGCCCAAGCTGTCAACAATTTTGTAGAATATTTGAGAATTCCATCAGTTCATCCTGACATAAATTATGGTAAGCTTTACTACACTTTTTCCTTAATTATTTTACGGCATTATTAAATCAATATAGAACGTAGTTAGAGCAGAAGATGACCTCTATTTGTTTGTGTGTGTATGTATATTTAAGGTCATTAATTTTCTTTTTTCATATTGTTCAATTCCATATCATTGTCTTTTTAAGAAACCTTAATTCGTTTCATCTGATTTAATTTCAAGAAGAATTTATGCTTATTATCTGCTTTGTGTGTTACCCAGTTCTTTGCATAATTGAATTTTAAATGTACTAAGTAGTTTCCAAGTTATTGTTTAATTATTGAAATAATTAGCTATTGTAAAAGTAAAACGCAAACATTTCTGTACAGTTCTTACAAACTAAAATTGATAATTATTCTTTAAATGTGACCTAGATTTGTAAATTTGCTTTGCTTTCATTTAATAATTTATAAATACATTGCAATAGGTAACACCCCAAGATACCTAATTGAATAACTGATTTCACCCTAAACTTGATTTATAACAACAACATATGCTTATTATTTATCGAAAATTAATTTAATTAATATGGATATATGTCTTAATACAAACAAAACTATTAGTAAGCAATACAGTGCATTACAAAATTATACAAATAGAAATGCATATTAATCAGTTAGCATTTTATTATTAAATATGTATGATCTTGTATCTATTTGGGAGTATTTGATTTAATAATTTTTCCAAAAATTTTTAAGTGTATGCTATCTTTTTTAATTTAATGGACACTTTGTTGTAATATAAAATTGCTGTATAATTACATAAATCTCACATTTATTTTGTTTCTTATATCTCTGTTGTAAAGGCTTACCATATTTACATATGTTGTAAATTTTTCTGATTATGAAATATTTGCCTTTATTTATATTTGTCTTTCACAAATCAATCTTGTATTTCTTCTTTTACTTTTTTCATCCTTTTACTTAATATGTTGTGCTAATTAGATACTTACCTTTGTTAATGTTTCTACTTTATTCTATTCACAGAAGAAATTACAATAGTATATTGGTCAATTCTTTTACAGTAATTTTTTCTTACTGATTAATAAATAATTTTTTAATAATTTTCAGATAGTTGTATCAAGTTCCTTGAAAAACAGGCCCAAGGGTTGGGTTTGCCAATTAAAATCTATACTTGTGTTCCTAAAAAACCAATAGCAGTAATAACATGGGTTGGAACAGAACCCTCTTTGCCTTCAGTTTTGTTGAACAGTCATATGGATGTTGTGCCAGTTTTTGAGGTGTGTGCATTTTTATTTTAATCCTTATATTTATTTTAAAATGCAATCCNTTGATTAATTTATTTAATTTCCCACTGAATAGTATGAACTCTTGAAAAAGACTTAGGAGGTAAAAGATATTTAAATAAAATCTTTAAAGTGTTTTGTTTAATTTCTACTTCGTTTATTAATTTGTTGTTATATTGTTAATTAAAGGAGAAATGGACCCATAAACCATTCAGTGGGGATATTGATGAAAAAGGAAACATTTATGCAAGAGGGTCCCAGGACATGAAATGTGTTGGTATTCAATATTTAGAAGCTATTAGAAGGCTAAAAGAAAGGGGCAAGACATTGAAGAGAACCTTACATGTTTCTTTTGTACCAGGTCATTAAATTATATTACATTTATTGTGTTCTCTAATAATTCTAATATATATTTTTTGTTATTAATAGATGAAGAAATTGGTGGGGTTGATGGAATGAGCAAATTCGTAGAAACCAAAGATTTTGAAGCCTTAAATGTTGGAGTTGCATTAGATGAGGGCATGGCCAGTGCAAACGATGATTTTATTTTATTTTATGGGGAAAGGTGTATTTGGCGTAAGTGAAGATTGAAAAATCGTTTTTTAAATAAGTAAATTAATTATTAACAATAATTTTCTCTTTTTAGATTTACATATTCACATCCCTGGTCAACCTGGTCATGGATCCCTTTTACTTGATGATACAGCTGGCGAAAAGTTGAACGTTTTGTTAAACAAATTTTTTGCGTTTAGACATCAGGAAAAGAATAAACTTAAAAGTGATAAAACATTGTCAATTGGAGATGTTACTACAGTTAATCTCACTCAAATAAGGGTAAAACAAACGATTTTAGTAGAATTAAGTCAATTATATATAGACATAATACATATTTATATTTTTTCAAATGCTTCAATTTGAAGGAGACAATAATATATTAAAATCATATTGATTTTTAAATGTGTATTTTGAAGATAAATATCAATTCATTTATTTGATTAATTCTATACAGAATTTGTTAAAAGATCTGACCTTTTGTTATTATTTTTTTTTACAATATTTTGAATTCATTATTAATTAATTTTCTATTTTTCAGGGTGGAGTTCAATCAAATGTGGTTCCACCAGAATTGATTGCCGTTTTTGATATTCGTATTCCCGTTACTGTTGATATTGTGGAATTTGAAAATAACATAAATAAATGGTGCAAGGAAGCCGGTGAAGGAATTTGGATTGAATATGAGCAAAAGCAAGATCAAGTTCCTGTTACCAAGCTTGACAAAACCAATCCTTTTTGGGTTGCCTTCAAGGAAGCAACAGATGAGCTGTATGTGAAACATTTATACAATAACTTTAGGACTGATTTTGTCGTTTTTATTAATTTTTGTATGTAGTTAAATCTTTCATTCATGAATTTGGATATCAAAGTAGAAAGTTTAACTCTTCATTGATTTATTGATTTACTTACACGGAAGAACCCTTTAACTTGTAATAAGTATGATGAATGTAATAATGTTTACATTTCAGTGGCCTAAAGATAATACCACGGATTTTCCCTGGAGGTACTGATAGTCGTTATATTAGAGAAATAGGTAAACCTGCCCTTGGGTTTTCACCAATGAACAAAACCCCAGTGTTATTGCACGATCACGACGAATATTTGAATGATCAGATATTTTTGAAAGGAATTGAAATTTACACCACCATTCTGCAAAAAGTGGCAAATGTTACGGGTTAAAACCTGACAGAGAGATCTAAAGCGAAAGGTTTTATTTTTGGAACAATGAAAAATATGGTGTACCTACTGTATGTTATAATATGATTTACATTGTTTATATGTTCTATTATTTGATTGACCACTTCAACTTCGTTTATTTTCTGTTGTTGTTTTATGGTAAGTATTTTTTCCTTTTTAATTAGAATTTGTGTATCCTAAACTTTTGCTTTCAAGTATTTTTCTTTCAGTTTTTTAAAAACCTATTGTTCTGTTACTTATTATCTCTTCGAAATTATTCATTATAATTGGTAGAATTCGAGTTAAAACTTAATAAATCCTCTTTGTATTTGGAGTGATTAAACATTTTTTCTGTAACTTACAAAGTAGAAAGTTTAACTCTATATCCATAAAGTCATCTAAATTATCCACCGAATTATATAAAACCGGATTTACAATTAAAAGAAAAACACTTTGTAAATATCTTACACATTTGTATATAATAGTAGTTTAGGTTTTGTAATTAATACCAGTCATACTTTTTTTGCAATTACGTTATTTTTATCATGTTTTGCGGTAATTCCTTAAATGTTTTCGTTTAATGGTATAATAATAATTTAAGAATGTTATATAAGATATAACAGGCAGGTAATAATATATTATACTTTAATAGCTGCATATATTTTTAAAAAGTGTGCTACATTTACTTCATGGGGTATGTCTTTCGTCCTCATATTTTAGGATAAATGAGAAATGTTAAAATAGGGAATATTTTTTCAAATCAATTAATTTAGGAATCTGGAACGTTAAAGTCTTTAGTATTTCGTTACAACATATTTATCCTGAAATTAAATATTTTGCGGTATCCTTCACTATAGCCTTTGATTTAGTAATAATTTCTATACAAGTATACCAAAAAAAATTTAATTTCCTTTTATTAAATTCTTCGTTGTCCTTTTTATAACTCTTACGTTACGCCTATGGTTACTTTTAAGGTACTTATTGTACGCATTATAATCTGATCCTTGCTTATTGATTTTCTTTGCATTTATATTCATATGAAATCCATTTGAATTAATTCAACTTTTTAAATGCGTTTTTAATTTATATCAAAGATGGAAATGTTTTATGTCTTTGCATATATTTTTTTATAAATTAACTAGAGGTCTTTTTAAATTTACGCGGCTGCCATGACAGTTGAAGACGGCATACCCGGCAAAGCAACTGGATGAAATTTTAGCGTCTATTACATGTTCGATTGAACGATATTACCCACAAAATGATATACTACCTACATCAAAATATTCCCAAGGAATCGCAGATTAGTTTGCTGCTATCTTATTTTATGTTTGTTTTTGTACAAGACAAATATTCCCTTTGAAAGTATGCGAATATATACCAAAACATGTGTCCCGTATGTCGATTGCTTTCTGTAGTTGTCGTTCTTTGAGCGGGAACCAATGGCATTACTCGGTTTTACACTCGTGACTTTTACCCGCCAATAATAACCGCGGGATTTGAATCCCTGGTCCTTCCTTATACACAAGTAATAACTTTTGTGTGCGTTTGGTTGAGAATACTGTGGCTGTCAGTGTAAAATAGTATAATTAGTGAAAATTAATGAAAATACACGAGGACATCGCCGTTTTTCCTTAGGAAACAAATTAGTAAGTAAGGAAATGTGTTTATAAATTTGATTTCGGCCCCATTTCTGTTAGAAACAAGGTAAATTAGGATAATTTTTTTTTCGAGGGAAAGTAGACTCGTCCGAGCCATTCGTCCCGCTCTTTTGTGCATTAACACTTTCCGTGTGTTTGTAAATATTGATATTCCTCAACTTACATTGACATATAATTAATTATAATAACCTTATAATTATCTTTCATAATTAAAATAAATATTCATAATACTGTGCTAAGTGACGAAAATGATTTTTTGGAAAAAACTTGCTAAAATACCACAAGTAATTCTTGATAATAAATATTTTAGTAATAAATTCATATTTATCAAAATTACCTGTTCCTCTGATGTAAGTTAAACAATTTTAGATATCTTTTTTTATTAAAAATGTTGTATTTATCAAGTATAAAGGCGGGAAGAATTGTTATGATTCAAGGTCAAGCTAAAATGGAAATTAGTTTTGATTGAATTCTGTAATTTAAGTAACGAATTATTTATGGTCACTACCTTAGATGATCGTTTCTACTTTACACCCTTGTACGTATAACTTACCTGTGAAGGATTATATATTTATAGTAAATTATGTTAAAATTGCCACAAATGTTTATCGATGAGATACCTAGTTGACTCTAAATGATGAAAATTATTAAATAAAATTTGTGCTTATTTTATAAAATTGATAGGTATCTATATGTAAAATATTAGCAACTCTGATAACAGCGATTTATTTATAAAATGATTCGTTTAGTACATATTTTCATTTTCTTTATAAAGGGATCATTTATTGCAGTTACTAATTTACATGACTCGAAATACCTGCAATACAATTCAGTGGCGGCGTTTACTCAAAAATCAAAGTCTTATTCAAACTAATACGCTCGACAGTAACTATTAAACATAGCTTTTTGATATTGTTTAATTCAAGATTCGATTAATTTTCTGTGCATCAATAGTTAAAAACAAACAATTTTTGTTACGTTCCCACGAATGCAATTAAAAGATATTTTAGTATTTACTGTTTAATTAAGTAATAACCAAGAGTATGCTTTGATGTTATTTTGAATTAGAATATTTATAAAAATTTGTAGCTTTTATTATATGTTGACGCCTCTGTGACCGTAAAAGTTGAGTTGGCAACTCCGCAGCCGTCCACTTTGTAAACGTAGCTTTGTACATTCCCTTTTCGTCGCTTCTCCTTTAAATCTAGGAGTGTGTTAAACGAACATCTGCTGTTTGTTCGCATCCAAAAAAATGTAGAGAAGCTTGCTGGAAAAAGGCAGATATTACCTTATTAAAACAATACAATTTTTAAAGTTAATAATTTATAGTAAATTTATTACTCAAATTTTCTGAGATACAATTCGTAAAAGCGTTTTTTGTAATATAATATTGAAGCGGATACGTTCCAATGATTGAACTAATTTTTGGAAAGTAGTTTTGATACTGTTGTTTACATATGTATAGTATGTCACACATGAAAGCTCTGTGCAGTCGTTAACTTTTGAAATAGGTACAGTATGTAACAAAAAACGTGACCACTTTTCCAAGTAATAATTTCAACACTTTTTAATGTAAATTTTTTTAAAACGTAGATATGTTATGGTCTTACCCCAACTAGAAAATAAAATCGGTCTAGGCGTTTCACAGTGAAGGGGCTTTTAATTTGAATACTCATATAAAAGTTTTTTCATTTTCATTGAATGGAAATAAATCATTAAGGAATATAAATTTGTTTCAGAATTTTCAAAATGTCAGCAGCAATGGATATGTACTTAACAGGCACCGATTCGATTTCTCTTCAAGAAATGTTAGATATAGACATAAAATCCGAAATAGATGTTTTGGTTGGAGGTCACAATGATTTGCCACCGTTTAATTTTTCGGAGCTTCCCCCATTAGAATTAGAAGAAGCAGGTGACATTCGGTGGATATCTTCGTCCAATTCGAACCATTCCAATTCAAGTTTCACACTAGACTTTAGTGGCGATTACGCTTCAACGATGGTGAACCCTAATGCGGTTATGCCATTCACTTCAACGATATCTTTAGCTCAAAACATAAGATCGCCATCACCAACCCTTAAAGAAAGTCATTTAACATTTTCTCCGTCTGTAATAAAAATAGGTAACATTAAAGCCGACACGTCGACAGTAAAAAAAGATCTCTTAGGAAAATTGAATAACATGGACATGAAGAAACGGGTAGATCCAGAACCAATAATAAAAATTGCATGTGTTCCTTCGAAGCAGATCGAAAAGCCAACAACTGTTAGGACAAACAACACCAGTTCGATCTTAACGTTTCGTAATACTATGCCATCAGTCGTCAGCATATCGCAAGTTCACAATACCATAAAAGCAGTGACAACTAATCGCAAACAAACCATCGTAAATACAAATAGTAACGATAGGTTCTTTAGCGGAGACAGGACGTATCCTAAGCCTGCTTACAGTTACAGTTGTTTGATTGCTATGGCATTAAAAAATAGTAGAACAGGAAGTCTGCCCGTTTCCGAAATTTACAATTTCATGTGCAGACATTTTCCGTATTTTAAAACTGCTCCCAATGGCTGGAAAAATTCTGTACGACATAATCTGTCGCTCAATAAATGTTTCGAGAAGATAGAAAAACCGGCAATCAATGGATCGCAACGTAAGGGATGCCTGTGGGCCATGAATCCTACTAAAATTAGTAAGATGGACGAAGAGATGCAAAAGTGGTCCAAAAAGGATCCATCAGCCATAAGAAGGGCTATGACTCATCCAGGTAAAATATATTAAAGACACATATTGTAGGTATTATCAGTTATAATGTTTTTGTTATTTTTCAGAAAATATGGAGGCTTTGGAAAGAGGTGAACTGAAGTTTACATACAAAGAGGCAGACAATTATGACAACTTTGGAGATTCATGCGGTAGTGCCGAAAGTGAAGAGGGTTCAGACACAGAACCCGAAAACGAATTGGAAAATAACATTGAAACTGAATTTATTGAAGTTAAATCGGAAAGTGATTACGAAGTTGAGGTAATAATACTACAATACTTGTATTCTTTGAATAAAACACATGTTAGTTTTCCACACAACCTTATTTTGGGTTATCTGCTTCCTAAACATCAAAAGTTGCCGACTTCTTGTTTTTTGTCTCCTGAAATCTTTCGTTTTTTTAAAGCGTGTTTTTTTTAATTATAGACAGCTGACGTTGTGTTCGAAGAAGACGACGAAGAAATTTTGCAGATGGAGATGGTGCTCGCACAAAAAGAACTTTTCCAATACGACCGTAATTCGAATAACAATAAGAGGAGAAGAATGTACATAATTCAAAAGTGAGCTGTGACTTGTCCCTCATACTAGTTGTAAGTCTTAACTAAGTAAACGTATGTATGGAAAGACCAGGCAGAAAGAGTTAATAATCCGTTTTTCTTCAATTTCTATATAATCACGAAAAATAAGACTGACGCTAATAATACAATAGTATCTGTAATGTAACATCTTCTTTTTCGATGAGAAAGCTAAAAATGCCGTGGCCGACATTGTCTGAAGAAGGCTCGATATTCGGTTAGGACTGAGACACTAAACCAGTCTCAGCACTGTTGTGCAGCTGGCGAAACATAAGATAAACGACTCCTGGAAGCCCGAATACTGAGCCCTCTTCATCTTTCTTTTTTACAATTATCTAAATGAAAGTGAAGTTGATTTATTTGTGCGTCTCTTGTGTTCATGTTTCGATTGATTTCTTGTACAGGTACGGAATGATACAGAAACTGAAACAAGGTAAAAGTGGTAATTGTGTAAATGGAAAGCTTGTTTAAGTTCGCTAATAACTATGTTTGCAAAGGTAAATAGCCTGAATGCTTTCTTTTTCAAGCAGAAGCAATGAAATTAACCTTTAGATACTTATGTGTTTTAGTTCATAAAAAGGCCAAGTTAATTTTAAATTTTACGTTTCGCTGTTGTAATTAAAAAATAAATAGTAAAGTATACCCAATAATAGCATTTTTCAGTAAAAAGGACACTTTTATAACCTTGAGCTCATGTTTAGGGTTAAGGCTAATATTGGGTATAATATACTTGTACTTGCCCTCTCAAAAAAATATGTATAAATATTTTGAATTTGAGTTGTATAAATAAAATTAAAATTGGCAACCACTTATAAGGTATAAGAAAAACAATTAATTTTGTAAAGGTTACACTTTTTACTATTCTTTATGGAATTAATTTTTTTGTTTTTTTTTCTGTTAAAAGGTTAAAGCTTTTTTACGGAAAACAGAATTAATTGTAATTTTTGTAGTTGTCATTGCTTGAAAAAGAAAGTAATTCTAGTTATTTGCTCATTTCATTTTCAATGGTAGCTTCAAAGTTGGTCTTGTCTAAATAAGTAATATAAAATAATAATTTGATATTGCGTTGATTTTATATAATAGAATACACTTAAGAACTTTTTACTTGTAAATGCAATAATTGTTTTATTTTATGTATGCCTAAATGTCTATACTTCTCTTTTTTGCTATTTTTATGTTTTTAATTTTTATTTTTCAATATTTTCAGCGATGTGAATATATGTAAATAGAATTATAAACATTTTTATTGGATACTTTTATTCTGTCGTGTTGTTTTTAAAGAAAAACTGTCGATAGAAAATGTGTACAAATAAGTTACAACTTTTTTTATACTTTGTTTTTCATGTATCTATTGTGTAAGTCGATGTACAAACATTTTTAAATTTAAATTCACAAGTATTAATAATAAAGTTGTGATGTTTTTTATAGTACTGTTTTTTTTTTATTAATATTTACTTTATTTGTTGGTGCTAAATTAATTCGTGTAACTAATAATTAGCATTTTTAAATTGTAAATACGTGTTAAGTTATTCGTAGGCCACAAAACATCTGTGGTGTGATGTGTGTTGTATACCAGTAAATATATTAATCTTTGGAGCATATACTGCCAGAGAGAACTCATCGTTTCGAAAAGAAAAGTGAATAATGCGGAGTTAACAGATTACTGTTTCGCTCACATTTTACAACTATCTGGATGTCTAATTTTTGTACATTATAGTATAAATGAGGTGAATTATAGTGATTATGTTACTCTTTCTATCCAATCAATTTTCATTTCCTAGCAAGTTTACTCTAGCTGTATATGTTCAAGTTATCTATAGTTGCAGTTTCGTCTTCCTTTACTCTATGTTTTACTCTTTGCACTCTTTGGTTGTTTGTCAGTTAATTGATTGGTGTGTATTTGTTCTGATTAATCTATTCGAATTAAGTTAATTTTCATTTTATTGTTTGTCGTTTGTGAGGAGGGTTGTTACTTATTTGAGTGTGAAAACAGTGTGGTATTTTACATAGCTTGTAGATTGAAATACTTATACAAATAAGTCTTTATTTGGATATAACCTACTGTCGTGTTCATACTTATCATGAAATTAATTATTTTTACAGCATGTTTGGCAGGTACGTCTTTCTCAAATGTTTTAAACAATTTAAAGTACTATATTTACAATTATCATTGTTCTCAGAAATAGGCTAAAACATTTTTTATTTCGTACATTATATTCAAATCAGGTTTCCTTAATTTTGAATAAATAGGCATTCATCAGCTTAAGCTATTGCTAATTAATTTCTTTTCGATATTTGATGAATGTTGCATGGTGACCTTTGCACCATGGACCTTTGTTCTTTTTGTTAAGTAAAATTGATATAGAAAATTTAATACTCTTGTCAACCTTTTATCTTGTCACTATTGTAGTGTAAAACTAAATTAATGGAATTGTTTTCTTAAAACATTGTATTGTTCTATTATTTGATCTTATTTGTTAAACCATGTAATATATATATACATATTTTGATAAACAGGACTGGTTCTTAGTCAAAATGAAGATCTTCAGGACTTAACTAAACGAGTTAATGAAATCCCTGGATTTGAAAACTTCAATCAAAGTAGTTTTCTTTCTTCAGATACAGTTGACCTTATCAAGCAGAAATGTGAAAAGAATGGGGGTGAAGCGAACATTGATCTTAAGTTTCAAGTAAGTTACATTTTTTTAAATTATTATTTATGTATTTTTAATAGGTTTATGATTTGGAAAGTGAAAAAGGAAGATGTTGCAGAAAATTACTCCAATTTGTTTTTGAAACCTTAAACTGGCAGTTAAGGCACATTAATTCATTATAATTAAAAATTTGTTTCTTCTACTTTTTGGAACAACTTCAGTAGATGTTCTTTATTAATACATCTATTTACTACATTATTTGTGTGCTTGTTTTTTATTATTATAAAAAATGCAGCAGTAACAAAGATGATTCAATTTGTATTTCCTGTTAATATTGCCAGTAAAATACAAGGTGCATTTTAAGAATCAAACATTAAAACAATATTAACTGTTTGTTAACTATTATATCATACTTAAAGAAATTATGCAACTTTTAACACTTTGGACAACTATAATTTCATTATTTTAATTTGCCAAAATTTGTGTGAGGTTGCTTTAAATTACATATTCTACAAAAGGAAGAAAGGAAGAGAAAAATGAGTTGGCCTGCCCTTTTTCTGTTATTTTATTAAATTAAAATGAATATTTTTACGTTGATTATATTAGCTATAATCAATATATTGGAAAGATAAAGAATACTTCATTTTCTTTATTTTATATGCTACTGACAGCTATTATATTGTGCAATCAAATAAGTTTTTAATTTTGACCTTTGTGATATAAGAGATGTACATATGCACCTATTCATATAACAAAGTGTATTACATCTTTTACGTAAATAAATAAGTTGGCATGCGACAAGTGGGTACAAAAACCAAATCATTAAAAAACCAGTTTACATACATACTTTATTTTTCCATTTTAAGGCAAAACATGTTAAATTTATTTATACGATTACTCACAGGAAGATATCTCAAGGTTAATGTACTGCTTATTTTTTTATTCTTGTGTTTCTGACGATGAGATATTGTACATACATAACAGTTGTATAAAGTTAAATACTTGTTTTCGTTACTACAAAGTACATTTGAATTCATTTACATTGGGGCACAAATCCCTATGCTTTTTAATGAAATAAAAAAATATTAAATTTTAATGATTGTTCAGCATACAACACACATCTTTTGTTTACTAGATTTTTGTGTTTTTCAACGAGTTCTCTGTTTCAACATATCACTTAGTACGTGAATCAACATTTAAAACATTTATTTATGTAACAAATATTATTATTCATTTATTATAAACTTTGTGTAAATGGTATGTGTTTATTTTAACAATTGAGCAATTGGTGTCCTACATAAATAAGTTTGATTCATAGGTACTTCTTCACTGATTAAAACGTTTGAACTATTATACACATTAATATCAGGAAGTAGGAAACTTCCAAGTAGTTTATCAGTTGTTATTTCCCTGTACCTACTTCTTTTGTAGTTATTTATTTAGTACACAGTGAGGATGTATTATTTTTTTTTTATGTAACATTATCATGTAGATAAGGTAATATGTTTGGGGAATCATGTACCTATTAAACATTTTTATGATAGAGTATTGGTTGAATAAAAATATTTTGCGGTTTTCGTTATTAATAACACATTTTATTGCTTCTTTTGTATTTTAGTCAATCAGAGACGAACTGCAGGCGTGCATCTCTGACAATTTTAATGTAACACAAATTCAGGAAGAAGTCGAAAAGGCAAAGTCAACTGGGTCCATGGACGAAGTGTTTGCCAAATATTGCGCCAAAAAAGAATTGGTGTACAATTGTGTTAGCAATTTAACAGAAACGGTTAACAAATGTTTAGATGATGAAGAAAAGGAAAGTATGAAACTGTTTTTAAATGTTACAGACAGCTTGGCTAATTTTGTTTGTTTCAAGGATGGCGATAGGATTGCCAGTAAGTCCGTAATATTTACTTGATAAATGTTTAAACTCAAGTAAAGAAATAAAATGTTTTTATAAACTTATTTATTCATTTACTTCGAATAAGTAAAAAATAATTGTCACTGGGGCGATCACTTTTAGTAGTTGTAAATGAGGAAATATAGTAGTCTATAAATAGTAATAATAAATAATTTAATTGTAATAAACAATAGTTAGAACTAAATCCTTTGTTATTTTTGGTACCAGAGGACCCTGTAAACTATGCTTAAGTCATTTAAATTAGGCATTATGGGAAAACTCTCATACCATCACATTGGAGATTAAATGAGATAGTGGAACAATTCCAAAAAGAGAAAACGTTAATATGACTGGAGTCAGTCAAGTCAAATTGTACCACTGTTTCATTTAATTGTAATATGTTATAAAACTTTTAACAAAACTGAAGTTGAAAAACTTTTAGTAGGAAAACTGCTCAGTAAAACGTCGCTAAATATCAGGGAAAGTTAGGGAAAAAGAAAACTGTATGATGTAATCGCCATGATCACAGTAGTATTTAAATGACTACTTTGTGGAAGTTTGTTGTTCTTTAATGGAAAAGTGTTTGTTTTCATTCGTGAAAGTAATGTATTTCTTCTTTTATAGTGTTCATAGCAGAAGGGGGTGTAGAGTGTTTGAACAGCCAAAATGAGCCCATCCAACGGTGCGTTAATGAAACATTTGGCTATCTGTTTCCACAAGAAATGAACATCAACAGCTTGCCAAAATTGATAATTAAAGCTCAGCATTGTAGGTGCGTACTAATACCAAAAAAATAAAACAAAGGATTGTATTTTTGTTTAAAATGATGGAACTACTAATTAGCGTAATTTTCTAAAAATTAAACATATTTAAGAGGAATTAGTTATATTACAAGATGATTCTCTACCAAAAGCATCGCCATGTATGCACTAAATAACTATATCTTTAAGTTTAATAACAATAACTATTTCCCTATTGTTCGTTTAATGTTTAATAAATTGTTGTATAAAAATGTAATTTTAAATTTTTGCTTCAGCGATTTTACGAAGTTACAAAAGTGTGTAGTAGAACAACTGGAAAACTGCAAAGATAATACACCTGCCAACATTGTCGACGCCCTCTTCAAGTTCATAAGACGAGTGACCCCCTGCAAAAACCAGCCAACTGCTGCTGAAATTGTTGGAGAACGACGATTTGAGAAAACAAGTGATAGCAGCAGTACAGCAATATCCATCACATTTAGTACGATTTTAATCTTTTTAACTTTGATATTTTCTCGGTATGTATAAGATATTACAGATATTTATATGTAAGTTTAAATCACTTGTGCCAATCGTACAATATTAATTTAAAGAAGTCGGCAAATAATTAGCCTAATGATGATGATGATGCTTTTGCTGTAACATAATTTGTAACTACTACGACGATTGTCAATTAAAGTAATTCATGTCTCACCTGCATATATATGCAATTATTTAAGTTTTTTGTATCTAAATTTGCACTTTAGTTTTTATTGTAAATATTAAACTATGCTGCATTTTTTTCAATTGAATTTTTGGGTGACCAAGTCTTCTAGTGTTAATAAACAAGAGTTGAAATATCATAACAATGGGTGTAATCTTACATAAAAATATTTAATTATTTCTAACAGGAATGCAATCTTCTTTTTGTCTAATAATGGGACGCATAAATTGTAATAAAATAGACAAAAAGGGGATTTCAATAGAATAGAAAAATTTATACATTTTTGTGTTGTATCTTATCAAGTGGTTTTGTTTCCTTTGATAATTTCCTAGTTTGTAATTCGACAGGATTTAAATTGGTTTCCTTTAGTTACTTCATATCAAATATTAATACATATTTTAAGCTTTTATTCAGTTTATTGAAAATAATTTTGTAAATCTTTCTTTTTATCTATTCTTTTTAATTTCCCCAATAATTTTTTTCCTGTTAACTTTTGTCTTTTTACTTTTTTGTTTATAATACTCATGATAATGGATTTGGCTGGATATCTGAATAGTAAAAGGACTGTAATTATTTTGTAATTGCCTTCAGAAAGGGGAATAAGAGGAAATATTCGAAGAGATAAAAAGGAAGATGTTGCATTCCGGTTGCAATATGGTTTTTGCTGCATCACATGGTTTTAATGGTATTTGAACTCTTTAATCTAGCATAAGTGTTTGAATAATTATTTGATTGGTTCTGTTTGAAAACGGTAAAATTGTGAAATTTCATAATTCTTAGTCTTTACCTGTTATGTATATAATAAGAAAATTAAGCACGTTTGATTACAATCATACAATTTTAAGGCCAGTGCAAGTTTATCTTAATGTCATGGTTTGTTATGTATTTTAAAAATTTTATTTTAATGTTTTTGTAGTCATTCAAGTAAGGTAATTTTAATATGTTATTTTTTAATACAAAATGAAAAGATGAAAAATTTGTATCTTTTTCTACCATGTTGTTTATATTACAATTTATAATAATTTAGCCCAACTTCTTTAAAGCTACAGAAAAAGTTTTACGCATGTTATTTTAAACGCTTTGTGTACTACATCTAAATTTCTTTAATGTGTGATAAAATGATAATTCAGTAACATTTGTGTGTTGTATTGTATTTAGGGAATACACTTGCTGGAAAACTATGATATGACATGCTTATAAAACGAATTAATTTCCGTATATTGAAGCACTTTGCACTGGCCAGTTACATTATAAAGGTCTCCTTATTGGTTATGTCCTCTAGGAAGTATTAAATGTTCACCAAGCCCCTGGATATATAGGTATATACTCATTGCTGGCTCCCTGGACATACCAAATTATTTATTTTGAGTGAAATATGTTCTTGTTTCTGTTCAATAGGTTCATTTTACAAAGAATTAAAGTATATTTCTTGACATATAACCTCAAACAACTTGTATACAAACAACGATCACTTTATTTGCAGTGTTCCATAGTATGAAATAATTACTAAATGCACTAGTTACGTATATTTGGTTATACACCTCCAAATCATTGGAAAGCTTCCACAATTTAGTATTTCAGTCCGTAAAATTTGCATTTCATCATATTTTATGTTTATTTCTTCCTGACAGTTCAAAAATCGTAATTTAAATCACTACAGTATAAATGAACGCACCTTTATATAAAACAAAAATAATAACACTAATTTTTACAATTTTTCTATTTGAGTAAAACGACCCTACGTTGCTTATGCTACAAAATTTCAGATTTTCGAAACGTGCTGTTCACACTACTAAACTCATACAAAAATTTTCTGCAAAAGTTCAATTTCTATGTGTTATAGGTATAGAAAAAATAGAGTTTTATTCTAACAATTATCTATTGTCAGAATACCACAGAATAAATTGATATAGTTTATCTATGGTTATTTGTATTGTCTTTAACATTTATCTATGTAATGTATAAAAGTGACATCTCATCGCCATTTTACGATTTAGGTTTGTTACTTGCGTTTCTGTGCATTATTTTACTTAATTTAAATCCTTTTTTTAATTAATTGTGTAACTAATACTCTTTTTTGTCCATCTCTACAGATCGTCTGACAAACGGGAGAGAAATAAAGTTCAGGTTGATGGTACTGAAACAATATCTACAGGGTTTGATGGACTACATTCTTGATTTGCTGTTTTCGTCTTCATCTTGCAACATTATGCAGTTAATTTTCAAGTGATGAGTGAGAGCAACTGAAGACTTATGTGAATTCCACTGAAATAAGAAATTTTCTGCATTGGCATTCCACGTGGATTTGATTTGCTTTTCACACCTGCAAACTTTGGAACATTACGGTCTACAGTTAATTAAGGTGAGAATACTTGATATTATTAATTTTAATTGCTCCTTATTAATCTGTTACCACCGTATCTGTTTCAGATCGACGTTGGAGAAGACAAAGATGACCCCGTAGTTAAAATAGTTCTTTATCTTGCATGCTCTATCTAGTAGAATTCATTAAGTTCATTTTATTCAAATTAATTTTTTATTTTGCATGT